AAAAAAAAAAATCTTAAAAAATATATGGGGTATCTCCCTTTCTCCATCCCACCCACCTCCATGTATACTCTCCTGGGAGAATCATTTTTAAGAATGGAGTTGTTAATGGCTACTATACAATAGTTCATCAAATGGATTTATTGTACTTTACATAGCTCTTCTCCCATAGTGGGATATTTAAACTGTTTGTTTCCTTTCTCTCTCTGTTTTTTTTCTTGCTATTATAATAATGTCAGGATGAAAATCTTTGTGCATAAAGCTTTTCCTTTATTTAAGATTCTTAAGATAAATTCTCAAAGCTTAAGCTTGCTAGGTCAAAGTATATTAAGATTTTAAAGGTGCTTCATACTTAATGTTCATAATGCTTTACAAAAATGGGAAGATTACTCTCTTTTTATTTTGAATCTATAAGATAATATTTACTCAGGAGATTGCCTTCTGATTGTAGTATTGCTCAGTTCATATCAAAAGGAGTTTGTTTATTGAGTGCTCATAGCCTATTGGGGGTGGGGGGAGGTCAGGAGAGTCAACCAGATTGGCACTGAAATCACTGCAGATGATCCGAGGGTGGGCATGTCCCAAAGATGGGAACATTATTATAGGGGATCTAGGGAAAGTACCAAGATTAACTCCCAAACCCAGCTCCCATCTCAGAAGGGAACAGCTTCTGCCCAAGAAGTTCCCAAGACCATCAAGGTGCACAGCACCTGTGTCAGATGCAGTCCTGGTGGAGCTTTGGCTTGACGTATCAACAAGATGCACCTCATCATAAAGCTATCTCAGCAGATCTCGTATTCCAGCTCAAAGAGCCAGTGGTTTGACCAGAATTCTGGCAGCTCCTCCCATTGCTACTGGGGAAGCCCAAATGAATGAACTCTTGCTATTTTCCTCTGGGTCCTGACTAAGCCTCTGACTACAACGGTGTTGGCTTAATTCTGGATCATGCCCTTACACTGAGCATGAAAATTAGACTGTTTTACCCCGGGTATGGCCTCTGATTATGCTACATCATGACCACCGCCCCTGTTCCATTTCTCTGCTGCAGCCCTCTGTGCACCACCCACATCAGCTGGCTGTGGAGGGAAGGGGCAGAGAAGGAACAAGCCAAAGAGCAAGACACAGGCTGCTAACATGACCCAAAGGTCACTCAACATCATAGACATTTTAACTGGAAAGAATTGTAGTGGTCATCTGGGTCTCTCAATCACAGCCTCATTGGCGCCACAGATCTCTTGGATAATCATATGAAAGTGATTGCTCCAGAAAATTATTGCTCCCTTGCTCCAGAAAAATACACGTCCCCAAATTTTGGGTACAATTCCAGGATGTTTCACAACTTCCTGGTACCCATCCATCTAGACGAAGCCTTTTATTTTCAGGTGACAATATGGAGACCCCAAGGAGGTGCAGGGTTCTTGCCCAGGGTTACACAGGGGAGATAATCCAATTCAAATTCAGCTCACCTGATTACCAGTATAGGCCCTGTCAGCCAATACTGTGAAGTTTCCACTCTCTGTTGAGCCCTCTTTGGAGAATGACGGAAAGTTCGGGCCTGGTTAGTACTTGGATGGGAGAATGACGGAAAGTTAGGGTGCTCACAACCAAGGAAATAGAACCCCCACTCATAAAAGGAAACTAAGATCAATTAGTAAGCCATATTCCTGCCATAGATTCCTCTTTGGAAAGTAAAAGCTAATACCATCCATTAATTCAGTAGGCAGTTAATGAGCACCTACGAGCATCTCCCAAAAATCTCTAACCGTTGGGAGAGTAATGATTTTTTGAAAATTAGAACTCTTTATAATCTCAAGCCTGAAGAGATTTTTCAGTCTCAAGCCTCAAAGCGATTTTTTTGTGGCTTTGTTCAAGTGCTGGGAGCCCCGCCCTGAAATGGGTGAGGCAGAGGTACTTGGTAGTTCATCTTCAGTGCAAAGGAGGTGTCATGTTAACGAAGGAGACCAGAATCCGCACTGAAGGGGACCTACATACATTCTACTCCTATTATTTCAGCTATTCAACAAGGCAGAAAAGTTCCCAGTTTAGGGGAAGTTCTCCAACTCAGCGACTCAGATCATACATTTTATTAGTAGCAGGAAGAGAATCAGATTCCAGTTTCGTCTTTCTGGAAAGAAGCAGGAAGCACTTCTGACTGATATTTATCTTCCCGGTTGGGTGCCAAGAGGCAGTTTTTTGTCACAGGAGGAGCCTAGTTGTGAAGGCTGGAGACTTGCCCTGAATCCGAATTTCTCTACTGACTGTCGTGTGACCTCAGGCAAAGCTCTTTACATCTTTGAGCCTTGGTTTTCTCATCTGAAAAATGAGAATTTTCTCAGCTTTCTTTTCGGTCAGTGTTCTGATGACGATGTACTTGTTGACTCAACAGAAATGCCTCCCTTCCCTGGCTTCTATAGTCTGTTATTTCTGTGTAGCAAATACTTCATTCTGCATCAGGGCCTGATCAGGAGGCATAAAGCACACAATAATTTGAAGATGGGGGAGTGCAATATAAGGAATTATTCAACTTTGATAGGAGTAACTGTATAGATGTATAGAGAACTCCAAAGGGTACCTAAGGCTGAGGGAGAAGACACAAGGAAGAACAAACTTGGAAGGGGCCCCTGTCCGTGGCTGGGGCTGAGACTTCACTGGATAAGTTGTGGTCATAGTCCACTGGTTGGTGGAGAAGTTGGCTGGGTTTCCTGGACCAGAGCTGGTCCACAGTTGCTAGGCAGTGGCAAACAGCCCACTGGGCGCTGGTGAGATGAGACTGTTGGGCAGGTGTGTAGAGTCAGAGTGCCACGGCCACTGTGAACCCTCGAGCCCATGGTGGTACATGTGGAAGGCCATGATGAAGGCCAGAGCTGCAAGGTCACCAGGCCACCGTGCACTCTGGGCATGCAGCTGAGACAGAGCACCATGCAGTGTCCCCACTGACGGACTCTGCAGCAGGAGAAGGTCCAAAACCAGGAAGAGAAACCCCCTTCTTCCTGCGGGGTCCCACCAGTAAATGGCTTCATGTCCTGCTTGCTGTAAAGCAGTGCTTCCAGGGTCCAGTCCATTAGCTCCGAGCAGAGACTAATGGGTTACTTTGCAGCTGAGAGGCAATAATATGATAACCGGTATAATAGGTGATCAAAAATGTTTGAATTAAATTAGGAAAAGCCACACAGTCTGTCAGTAGCTCCCTCAACCCCTGTTTATTTCCCCTTCTTTCAGTCCCATAAATTTTACCACCAGTAAATGTCAAATCTCTCTAACTTCTTTTGTAATTTACTCTCTGGAAGCTCATTTCCCTTTGAGGTGTTCCATTTTGTTTTGTTTTCTTAATGAGGCATGTGTCTTTCTTCTCTTGGCACACACTTAAAAGAGACTTGAGTAGAGGGGGCGGGGGAGGGGAAAGGAGAAAGGGGGAGAGGTGGAGGAGACCAAGGGGGAGAGAGAGACTCTCGTAAACAACCTGAGACTCAGTATTTCATTTTACAATTTATTTCTCCACTCAAACTTGAACTCGTTTCCCCACAGTCTCTCTGTTTCATTTCAAAGCTATCCACCTGTCCTTCCTAAACACTCTAGGAGTGTCCCCAAGCACTTGACTTCAAGTGGCAGTGGAAGGAGCCAGAGCTGATCCGAGAACCCGTTCTTCTCCCTTTTTAAGGAAAACACAGTGGCGAACTCAGGGCAGACTGGGCAGTCAGTCTCCTTGGACAAGTCTGAAGGTCCAGTCTCTGACCATTTGAGAAGAAAATAGGCAACAGAGCAAACATCAGACCTGGAGCATAAATACCAGCACAAATATTATTCAGAAAGTATTTGGAAAGGACTAGTAGTTCCGAGAATCAAACCAGGGAGAGCGTGGCATTGTAAAGAGCCCTACACGTGCTGTCCTGTGGGAGATCATGTTATTAACAGGCACCGAATTTGTGTCAAGACAATGTTCTTAGGCATCAACCATCCTGTTCTTCCAAAATGTTTCATTCTCTACCGAAGAATCAGATTTAATTAGTGTTCATGGTTGATTCCCCTGCAGGAATTAGCCAAACAGTGAGGTGGGGATACAGCTAAACGTCTTCCAAGGATGAAGTGGTTTTGCAAACGTAATCTGTTTACCACCCTTCAGGAGGGCTGGGGAGATCATCCCTTTATATCAGAAAAATGGCAATGGGAAAAACTAGAGGAACTTAATCTTTCCACCAAAATTTATATATATATATATGTATATGTATATGTATGTATGTAGCTGTCTTCCATATTTCTTTCCAAGTGATGGACATCCTGGGGCCAGTGGAACATAGAATAGACGGGCAGGGAGCTACCTCAGTTTCTCCCCAAGCTCTACCTTCTTACTCCTGCATGTTCCAAGGAAATCGTGCTCTTAAATGATCAAGAGTCATACATGTGTTTAGTCCTGCATAATGAGATTGTGGACAATCTTTATTTTCTTTCTGTTTATCTGTGTTTTCTGCAATGAGCATGTGTTGTTTGTGAAGTAAAGCATATATAAAAATTTTAATGAAAAAAAAGCAACAACCCACATTTCTCTTCCATAAATCTCGGGCTCCATTCCTGCTTGTTGTCTCCTCTCTAGCCAGACCCTTTGTAGCCTCTTCACTCCCCCTGTTCAGATTAACTGCCAAAAATCAGCAGACCTCATTTTTGGAAGGGACTTTTGGAAGAGATTCATTTCTTCGCTCTTGGACTTCTAAAAACAGACCACTTTTCCTTCTACCCCTCACCAAGCAGTGATTGATGCTACACCTGCCTCTGATGTGACAAAACGTAAGCGATGAATCAAAGCCTTTCATGATTCTTGCACATTCTGAGGCAGGCGGAAAGCACCAGCCAGGAGCACTGAGCCATGTGAAGATGCTCTGCGGGGCACAGTCGTGCCAACCATGGGCACCTTGAGGATACTCACATCACTAACCTTTGATATGTTGCTCTGCTCTTTCAGATTTTTGACAATGAAGCCAAAGACCTAGAGAGAGAAGTTTGCTTTATTGATATCGCCTGCGATGAGATTCCAGAACGTTACTACAAAGAATCTGAGGTAAGCAGTAAATGGGGTGACAGATGGAAGAGGTTCACTCATTCGTTCAACAAATATTTATGAAGTAAGTCCTAACCTGGGAGACTGTCATCCATCTCGGTGTTGATTCAATTTGATCTCACATCTTGCTGGATTATTTAATGCGAGTCTCACAGTTAAGTTCCTACTCCTCCAGGCCCTGGCTGCCACTCCATTTCCATTTAGATTTCCTGTCTCCCCCGCTCTGCCATCCTTCTGGACAGCAAAACATTCAGCAGGCTGAACCATCCAACATACTGGCCTCTGACAAACCACAGCCATCTCTGACTTCCTGTTTTGCCGGGACCTGCATGACCTGCCTCCCCATCTGCATGCTCCGTGAGGGCCGGGGCTGGGTTTTATGTGTATCTTTATGTGTAACACAAAGAAGATGCTCGCTCCGTCCTCTGAGTGAATATTGGAACTCCAACAGCTCATCTTGACACAGAACCTTTCTCTCAAAACAGGAAGTGCCTTCGAGAGGGTTTCTCCTTTTTTTTTTTTTTCATTCTTGACTGAGAATAAATTGAAGAGCCTATCTTTTTCTGTCGCTTCCACCCTACCGGGATCCATGGTGTGCCTCAGTCCAACCTTCTTATTTTACTGTTGGTGCAAGTCAGCACCAATATCCCGTTAGTACGTTACTAAGGGCTGCCGGCGAATGTGGGCAACCCCCTTGTAAATGACATCCCCGCCCCACAATGACAGTTGTTTAGCAATAGGGCAGCCAATCACAATATGTTTGGACTCGGGGCCCCAGACTCGTCCTTGAGCCATAACACATGGACCTTGACATTCTTCTCCCAGATTCATTAAGGCTGATTTAAGACATAATAAATAAACCTGTTGAAAATGAATTCCACTGTTCTACCAACTGGGCTCCCAATGTGGTTCAGAGTTTTTTCCCCCCCTTCCAGATTTTGGGATTCTAACCTGGGCTTAGCAAATGCTTAGCTGCTTACTTGCAGGCGTGTGCTCTGCAGCTGCTGTCCTGTCTTCAAAAGACTGGGAGAGGCTGATGTGAATTACTCTCGGTTTGACTCAAAGGCTGAGTGTTTTAACGTCATCCGTTTACACTCCGCTCCGCAGCCAACCACACTCATGAATTTTCAGAAAAACCCAGTGAAATGCTCTCTGCATAACTGAGCCTGCAGAAGAGAAGGAGAAACTTGGCCTCCCCTTGTCTCATTCTATGGAGGAGATACTTCTGTGATTCCGTAGCAAGTCCGCTGATACTTACAGGGCTCTGATGGTACATCAGAGCATCATGCATCAGGTGAAGGTGCTCCCCATCACTTTCTCGGCTCCTTCGGCCTGGGTGGGGGCTGCTGTCCTCCCTGAGCATCCTGACCTCTTTGGGAGCTCAGGCCTTCCAGGAAGAAAACTGAACTAATTTCAGTGCTTCCTCTTAGATTGCTTTGGTGTGATCCTGCCTGGGACTCAGGGAGTTCCTTCCAGATTGGGTGGAAAGTCTTAGGATAAATATGGAATACTAATGACAAAATCAACAAGTCTCATTTCTAGTCAGCTGATGCCTGATTCATCTCCTTGTGCTTTGTGCTCCCAAGAACCAGCCCTGGAAACCTTTTCATTTACACAGACAAGCAAGGAGCTCTTACTTCATTCTTCATAGTCATTCATTTTTCTTGGTCATAAAGTGTTCTTTTCAAGTGTTCTTTTCAAAGGTGAATAATCATTCATCCAATAAATATTTGCTGAGTACTCAGTGAGTGTCACATACAACATTAAGATGGCAACACAGCAACCAGCAGAAGAGCCACTGGGAGTCCCTTCTTCCCTCAGGATCCTTCCAATCTGGGAGGGGAGCCAACAATAGAGAATCATCTGAGTACAGATGGACTCAAAAGTCACCAGTGCCATAAGGAAGCACGCATGATGGGGAAAGAGACCATGATGGGGAAACCGAATTTAAGAGGATGGGATCAGGAAAGATATTCTAGAAGCAATGACATACCGAGACCCGCAGGATGAAAAGAGCTGGGGCATAGTGCTCCAGGTGAAGGTAATAGCATGTGTGGCATCCCACGTGTGACACACTTGAGGAATCAAAAGAAGATCAACATGGCGGCAGCAGCAGAAATGAAAGGACAAATGGCACAAAGGTTGGGGCCATGTTAAGACGCTTCGATCTTATTCAAGTGCAGTGGAATGCCTTTGCCGAAATTAAAAGCTGTGCGTCATATGATCTGATTTGCACTTGTAAAAGATTGCTCTGGGTGGAGAAGGGACTGGAAAGAAGCAGAGTGGAAGTCAGGAAATCACTGAGGTCATTGGAGTTATCTACATTATTGGTTTTTCACATTATGTGGTGGCTTGACCTGGAGAGCTGGGCACAGATGGTTTTGAGGTATATTTTGAAGATAGAATTGACAGGGATTGGTCATGGACAGGATATGAAGATGAGAGAAAAGCAGGTGTCAGGATGACCTTAAGGTTTAATGGCTTGGCCAACAGATAGACAGGGGTGAGAAGTGGAGTGGATTTCTGAGAAAGATGGATAGATTTTGTGATGCCAGCGAGATATCCAAAGCAAGTAGAAATGAATCTAGAGCGTAGATGAGAGATCTGGGATGGTGACGAATGTGGGAGTAATTGGAAAACAGAAGATACTTAAAATGCCGGAGATGAATGAGAGGGAGAAAGCATAAAGTATAAGTGGGAAATGAGTTCAGGTCCAAGCATGAAGGGATGGCAGCATTTGGAGATCAGGAAGAGAGGATGGGGAGGCCCCACGTATCTACAAGAAACAAGAGAGTTGGAGGAGAGACAAGGAGAGTGCAAGTTTCATTCATTCACTCACCAAGGGAATGTGAGTTTCAAGAGGAAGCAAGTGATCCGTTGATCCGTTGGACTGAGCACTGCCATGAGGTCCAGTAAGACGAGAATGCAAAACCATCCTCTAGAACAGTGATTCTCAACTGGGGGCAATCTTACCCCCCAAGAATGCTTCCAGTCTGGAGACATTTTTGGTTGTCACAACTTGGGGATGCTACCGACAGCCAGGGGTGCTGCTAAACATACTATAATGGACAGGACAGTGCCCCCTCCCCCACCAGGGAATTATCTGGCCCCTGATGTCACTAGCACTGAGGCTAGGGACGCCCTAGGGAAACGCTGCCCCAGAGGATTAATGGAACTTGGGATTCAGCTCTTCCACTCAGAGCCGCCCCTGCCGGTCCTGGAGTCTCAGGGTTTCTTGGCAGCTACGGAAGAAAGGGGCTCCAGAGGGCTCAGTTCTGCACACTCTCCATCAAGTACTGCCTCCCAGAGGATCACCGGCCTAGGCTGGGGGTGGAATTCTTCCTTACCTGCCCTAACAGTTAGACCACAAAGGAATGACATAATCGGGAGTATGCTGCGTAGGACTCCCTTGTGACCCCAACCTCGTATCATTCGGCTTCCAGAATCCAGACTGCATAGCAACCCAGCTGAAGGGAGAGAAGAATTTCCTAGGCAGTTTTGGTCATGTGTCATCAGCCAGGCACTGAGAGCAAGGGAAACAACCGATTCAGAAGCAAACCATTTCCAAATAAATTTCCACTCGGCACACTGTAGATAATGAGCATCCACCTCCCCACTGCAAGAGTTTTCTTGTAAAATGACTGACCTGGTCATTTTCTGCTTAAAAGTACCCTCACTGGCTGGGAGGAAGCCCAGTCCCTGAGCAGGGCCCTCTGCCCTTGCCACTCCCTGGTCCTCCCCACCTCTGTGCCACTCAGCTGGGGATCTTCTCCTCTGGGGCCTTTCCTGGGCCCCCCACTAACCCACCCACCGTTGGCAGAGCATGCTCCTCATATTGTCTCACAGGTCTGTCACGAACCCCATGAAAACAAAAGCTGTCTACTCCAGCACCGTACCTCCCCAGCTAGTACAGCAGCAGCCCAGGGCAGATGCTCACACAGCGGTTGTTGAATGAATAAGTGAAAGCCGGGGGCCTTGTTTTTTTCCTTCCAGCAGCAACAATTTCAAAGCAAGTGCTATCAAAGAAAATGAATTTGTTACCATTAAGCTAACAGTTGTGAATCAGAGTTCTTTTTTTTTTTTTTTTTTTTTAATCTGAGGCATACAGCTTTGCAGGCGTTTTCTTCCAATCCATCTTTTGTAAGTTGACTATGTCAGCATCATAAAGAGGAACACGTTTTCCGTGGAGAAAGCTAAAGCGCTGGTGGGCTGGCTCTGGTGTGAGATTTTTGATGCTTATGCATTCAGACCAGGGCTATCTGGGTCAGTCGTCTCCTCCCAGCTCCGGTCACACACACACACCGCTGTCCGGGCCGAGGCAAGGGACTGAAGCGCTTGCTTTTCTCCTTCCGTTTCTCCCTGGAAACCTCCGAGTCACACGGGAGGCAAGAAGCCTTCTCTCATTAAGGTGACTGGAGCTGGGAATTTTCCTCTGGGTGCCCTCTACCTGGCAGAACCTTGTGCTACCACTAACCGGATATTCAGAAGGACACTCTGGGGACTCGGGATCAGGTGACAGCCCCGCGCTCTCCTCGTTCTCATTTAGCAGGGATGCTGTTTCCTAGCCACAGCGAGGGTCTGAGCGCCAACTCCCAAGAGGCTCTTAACCTCAGGTTCTGTTCTCATAACCGTTGGTGGGACTCGACAGGGCAGCAACTCTGTTGTAGAAAAGAAAAAAAAAAGTGTGATTTCTCAGAAACGGGGAGCACCTCCGTTAACCTTAGCACAGCCCTGCCAAGGCCCTGCCCCCATCAATCACAAAGCGCTTTGCACCCAGTGACATGAGCACCCCAAAGCAGGAGAGAGGAAGTGAAGCCAAAACCTGAGCAGGCTGTCCTTTCGAGGCAGTTGATACATGGCTTCTTTCCTCGGCCAAGAGTCCCATCTCGACCCTTTCATGCTCTGCCAAGGCTTCAAGGTGAAGATCCCAGCTCAGGAATGAGGAAACCCCATACAATAGGTCGTAGGGCGTCTACAGAAGACACAAGCTGCGAGCCCAT